GTCATCCGTACATTCTGTGTGTTGAGCCTTCAATAAACTGTTAAACTTTTCATCCCTGTGTCCGTTTAGTGGTGTTCTGCATTCTTGGGTCTCTATCTGAGAACCCATCATGACAGAACACTGCGGCCAAACTCAAGGCCCAGCAGATCACCTCAATCGTCGTTTGGAAGAACAGGATGCTCTTCTACAAGGACAATCCCAAACGCTCCGTGAGTTATTTCATCTAGTTGGAACACATAACCAAATGCTTCAGAATTGTGCTAACTTCCTGAATAGCGCTAATGCTGCGCCTATTCAGCAACCATTTCCGGGTCCAATCCCTCCTCCGAGGTCACAACCTGTGACGTCATCTGAGTTCCGCCCTAGTCTTCCAGAGAAATTCTCCGGTAACATGAAAGATTGCAAAGGATTTTTATTCCAGTGTCGGTTGATTTTTCAGAACTCTCCTGGCAGTTTTTCCACAGATCACAAGAAAATAACGTTCATTCTTTCACAGTTAACAGGAAGAGCCTTGGATTGGGCTCAGGCAAGATTTGCCACTGACGACAGTTTAAATTGCCACTTTTCTGACTTCCTTGCTGAATTTACCCAGGTATTCAACCAGGAAACTGACCAAACTATTGATTCCAGAGCTCTTTTCAGCCTTAAACAAGGAAATTCATCGGTGGCAGACTTTTCAATAAACTTCCGGGTTAAGGCGGCAGCTTCCGGATGGAACCAAAGCGCCTTGAAGGGAGCCTTCTTCATGGCACTAAACGAACAGATTAAAGATGAACTAGCAACCCTCGACGAACCAGCTTCCCTCGAGGATTTAATTCGCCTTTCCATTAGGCTTGATAATAGAATTCGAGCCAGAAACAGTTCTAGGAAACTGAGCAATTTCCCTTCTGCCTCTCTTAATGTGACTGTTTGTTCTCTCTCTACAGAGCAGATGCCCACTCAGAGGTCTANGATTGGATATAGGTCTATAATTAACCAAGTCATCTGGGTCAAGAGATGGTTTCTTAAGCAGAGGTCCTCCCTGCCAGCTGCACGGTGGCGACTGTCTCCTGGGAAATCTCCGACCTGATTAAATTGGCCCAAGCTTCTGAACCCGACCCAGGAAATGGTCCACCCAACAGAACGTATGTACCCTCTTCAGTCAGGTCCCGTCTCATCCACTGGATGCATTCTGCAAAATTTTCAGCTCACGTATAAGCAGAACCATAGCCCTGATCTCTCGCCGTTTCTGGTGGCCATCCCTGCACAAAGACACCAAAGAGTATGTCCTAGTCTGTCCCGTCTGCGCTCGCAACAAACCGTCACATCAACCTTCCTCTGGTCTTCTCCACCCACTACCTGTAACATCTCGCCCCTGGTCCCACATTGCTGTGGATTTTGTAACCGGTTTGCCTGCATCCAAAGGTATGACAACCATCTTCACAATCATTGATAGATTTTCAAAAGCCTGCCATCTTGTCCCCCTCAGAAAACTTCCGACTGCCTTCCAAACAGCGCAGCTCCTCATCAAACACGTGTTCAAGCTTCATGGAATCCCCCAGGAAATCCTTTCGGACAGAGGCCCTCAATTCACCGCACAGGTCTGGAAACATTTCTGTTCTGCTCTTGACACCAAAATCTCTCTAACTTCAGGTTATCACCCACAATCCAACGGACAAACAGAACGACTAAACCAAGAACTGGAATCAACCCTCCGATGTTTCACGTCAACCAACCCGATCTACTGGAGCCAATATCTTCACTGGGTAGAATATGCACACAACTCACACACTTCTTCTGCAACCGGTCTGTCCCCTTTCGAGATATCCTTAGGTTATCAGCCACCCTTGTTCCCCGCTGACGAAAAGGAAATCTCGGTACCTTCAGTTCAACATCACATCCGCTGTTGCCATAAAATCTGGAAGGACACCATATCTGCTCTGAACCGGACATCTGCCCAAAATAAGAGATTCTCTGACAGCAAACGACGCCCTGCTCCCACCTACACACCCGGACAACAGGTTTGGCTCTCCACTCGTGACATTCCTCTAAAATCCATGTCCCGTAAACTCTCTCCTAGGTTCATCGGCCCATACAAAATCGAGTCTGTTATCAACCCGTCTGCCGTCCGCCTGCATCTGCCATCCTCACTCCGAATCCACCCAACATTCCACGTTTCCCAGATCAAACCTGTCCTGACCAGCCCTTTTTGCCCTCCGTCCGACTCCCCTCCACCCGCCCGGGACATTGATGGTCACCCTGCCTTCACTGTCCGCCGGATCGTAGACTCCCATCGCCGGGGCCACGGCTGGCAGTACCTGGTCGACTGGGAGGCCTACGGTTCGGAGGATCGCACTTGGGTTCCTGGATCCTTCATTCTGGACCCTGCTCTAATCGACGAATACTGTGAGTCTCTGCCATCTACTTCTTTTGGACCGCCAGGAGGCGGCCGTTGAGGGGGGGGTACTGTTGGGATCTGGAGGTCTGTCCACTTTCTCCACCAGAGGGCGTACTAGATCTCCTGGAGCCGGAGCTGATTGCAACCACCTGTCACTCATCTGCTCATCAGGAGATCTGTATTTAAGGAGGCAGAGGACGTCTCTCCAGTGCCAGAGTGTTTGCCAGTTAAGGTTGAACCTGCCTGAAACCAGAAACCCTGAAGAGTTTCTCTGTTGGAAATTTGCCTGTCAGATCTCTGAAGAACCCTGGAGAATCATTCCTATCAAAGACCTGCCTGCCCGCTCTCTGAAGAATCTGGAAGGGAAACTCAAATCTGTGATCTGCAAACGCTCAAACCAAGCTCTGCCTCCGCCAAGCCCTCAGCCTGCCGACAGCCTCTGGACCCTCAAGGTTCCCCCCTCAGCCGCTAAGCTCTAACTCCAGAACAGGTACTGTCCTGCTCACTCACATCCTGCAAATTACCTGGACATCCACTAACTCCTCTGTCCCCCTCTGCAGTGAACCCACTCGTGACCAGTCCTGGATCTGATTAACCCCTTGATCTGTTTATTCTTTGCACAGAATTATCCCAATAAACCTTTGAACCTTAAGCCAAACATGACAGCTTTAGACACTTGCATGTTCTCCGGGGCTGCAGCATCTGGGACACTGTGGGCTGTGCCCACCACATCTTGTTGGCATCCCACCAACTGGATCCTACCTCCTTCTCTGGCCTTGTACTGTAACCAGAGTTTCCAGCCTTAGACATCATAGCCACTTCTACTGCAGATCCGCAGTTCGTGTTTAAAATAAACACTTTTTCAGTAATCTCACTTTCTGTGTGGTCTTGAATACTGGGTCTTAAAATCAAGAAGACTGCTGTAAGGAAATATAATATGTATGTTTGTCATTTGTATCCCTTCCAATGAAAGCTTTTAGCCAGTAACTTTCTTTAATTTATTCAATTTAAATAATTCTAGATGTGATGCTTTTTCCCTGTGTTTGTTTGGTAGGAGCTTTAATTTTCTTTTTCCTTGGTGTTTTTCTGGGAAGCTCTGGTGAGGATTCAGTAGAACTTGTTTATGTAGATGAGTAGATAGAGCTGGTGCTTTCGTGCAAGGCATTGCAGGATTGTCGAGCTCAATAAGTAGCTCTTTCAATTGTCAAAATCTAACCTTCTGAAATTCCTGTGTCCTGTGGGAGATGGTTCATATATGTCTTTATGTGAAGGAATTTTATTTAGGCTAAAAAAGGATGGTTAAAACACTATCAGGATGGATGCTTATTGTTTAATACCATATTTTATCACGATCAAATATTTTTTGCATAAGGCATAGCATAATGTCACTATGCCCCTTTAAACAAGATTAAACATGCATTTATTTACAGTGGCATTTGACTGTTCTATGTACTGTAAGTATTGTTAGTTTAAGCTTGTGTCAACCCCATTTTATTAATATTTTTAACAACCTTTTACGTTTTACTATTTACTTAACTACCTGCCAATCAGTGTACTTGTTCTATGTGTTTTCCTAATATACTTCTTTTTTCATGTTAAGCACTTAAAGGAAGATGCTTTTAAATTAATGAAAATTTAAAACATTTAATAAATAAAACAAAACAATCAGACTAGTTAAAACAGATTTTGACAAAATTTCTTAGTTTTATCAAACAATCTACAAAACTAAGAATTCATACACCAACTAAGATCATCTTCCGGTTGCATAATTTTTTTATCCACAGCTTTCCTTAAGGAAGCTCTGCCACTTACGGTATAAAGTCTCATCTAACTCAAATAATAATTACGTCCCTTTTGTCAGGTGCTTTTCTTGAAACTAGAAAAACAGAAATTATTAAATTGCTGTTGAAAAAAAGAGCAGCTTGAACTGCTGTTGCAGAACTACAGACCTATGTCAAACCTCCCCTTTTCAGTAAGATTAATAACTAATTCCTGCTTTGTTCATGTTTAGTAGATTGATCCCTGCAGCAGAGAATTCACAGGTGTGCCTAAAAAGTGAATCAGACAGCTGCAGCTGATCCAGAATGCTGCTGCCTGTGTCCTCACCAGAACTAAGAAAGTGGAGAACATCAGACCAGTTCTGAAGTCCTTCCACTGGCTCCCCTTATCTCAGAGAATAGACCTTAAAATCCTTCTGTTAGTCCAACATTCATTTTCATTTTTTAATAATCTTTATTACATTATCTTTTTATTTTAATTATATTTTAAAAATGAAAAGAAAAGTAGTCCAACACTCTTTTCATTTTATAAGAATATTTTTTCAATTATGTTCTTATTTTGAATATATTTATTCTATTTAAATATTTACTGCATGACTCACTGACTTTGAATGAAAATGTTTATTCCACATTTTCAAACAACCTCAAGTTTCTTACTTCAAAATAAATACATCTACTTTTAAAGAGAAAGACACATCGTTTTTTTTCACTTTTGCTTTTATTTAGAGAATCATTTTATTTATTTAAACAACATAAAAAAAATATTGATTAAACAATTTTGCTTGATTTTGTTTCAATTCAAATCAGTTTAATTATATATAGCGCCAATTCACAACAGATGTCATCTTAAAGCACTTTACAATTCAATCAGATCATACATTCAGATTGGTTCAAGGTTTTCTATCTAAGTAAAACCACTTGATTGCATTGACTCATTGACTGGAAGGCAATCCCTCACACTAAGCAAGCATTTTGGTAACCTTATCTTAATTTTTACAAACTCAGCCAAAGGTAGATGACTGTATTTGTCAAATTAATGATACTTCTAAAGGAAGTTTTCAGATATGCATTTTTTTCCCCTCTCAGCTAAAATAAGACATAAAAAACACCGGCATCAAAAACAGCAGAAGGGCAGGACTTGCACTGCTGGCGCTGTTGCAGAAGTCACCCTTGCAGCAGTAATGCTTTATTCCAGTGTTCTTTGTCACAGTGTCGTTTGTCAACCGTTTAATTAGTGAAGTTTTTAGATCCAAGCACACTGATTCGGAGGCACAGCCCTTTAGTGTTGCGGTTTGTCCACTGGAACTCGCTGAGAAAATGGAAATAAAATTATCACATGGGTAATTAGAATTTCAAAAATGTGTATTTTACGATAACAAGAAAAGAAAAAAAGTTGGTCGTATGGGTATTTTGTCAAATAACAGATATTAAAAATATATAACATATGAGATTAAACTGAAAAGAACTGACAGGCTTGGATCAGCGTTCAATCATTTTCTGATGATTATAATAAGGTAAAGAACATGTTTTCCTCTTACCTACTGATTTGATGCAGTAGTTTTCATTCTCTAAACATTGAAGTGTTTTACCGCAGTTTTCGCCTACACAGGTGTAGCATTTCCTTCCATTTGGAGGAGGATTGGAAGAAATAACTAAGATACAAAGATAGTTATTTCAATTTGAATAAACAGAATTATAACATGTTTTCATAGCTTTAATTTCCTTTCAACTTATATCTCTGAAAGTATTTATCAGAGAAACTTGTAGTATGAGAATATTATATTTTCTGTTTTACTTGATTCCTTAAATCGAATCTTTAAAATATTTTATATGTCCTGAAGATAAAAGGTATCAGTGTGTATATAAAGCCATGCAAAGAGTTGAAAAAGAAAAGAACCTTAAGGAATTATCTTACCAGGATAGGAGTTACAGAGATTTGTTGAGCAGCATGTGCTTTTTACCACAGCTCTCGACACTCCATAGTTGACAGACCCTTCAACACAGTCTGCAGGGGTACCACAGCCTCTGGCCTTGACTTCTATAGGACTTATAGATTCTGTAAAAGAAACAAAACAAAAAAAATGCATAGTTTACAGAGAGGCGGGGCCAAATGAAGGACCATCTAAAAATACCAACTACACAATTACATACCTGCAAAGGTAACCTGTTTTAATGCTGCACATTGCTTAAACACAGGTTCACATGTTGTTTGTCCCTCTTTGCAAGTCCCATAGGGGTCAGGTGTACATTCATAGCAGTCCAGGGTGTCAGCTAATTAAAACAAGGAGAAACAATACTGTCAAATGAGTGTGAAACATACTTAGTTGTTTATTTCTAAAAGTGAAATTGCAAGTCTGACAAGTAGAAAAAAGGCTGATTCACTGCAGCACAAGATACACAGCCAAAAAGAAGATAATTGATAACAACATAACTCTTACAGAACTTACATCAATTATTGTCGTTTGTAAAAGGAGAACAGAGAAAAACTGGATAAAAAAGTAAACACTTATGAATATGAATAATATTAAGATATAGAACTTGCCTTTTTGGAGAAGCAGAACCCCAAGAACCAAAGTAAAGAGGAACATCTTGCTGCTGGTAGACAGGTGAGTTATACTTACTACCATTCAGAGTGCATACATATATTTGATCTTATTCTGGGAGGGGCTTGTCTCTCAGTCTTAGACCACTCCTTTCTTCCACCTACTCAACTGATAAACTTAAACTGGGCAGAACATTTTTTTGGGGGGATTTTTAGATTGTTGCCTGTTTTTATATACAGTGGGTGAAATAAGTCAACATTTTTCTCAGTGAATATATTTCTATAGGTTCTATAGGTTGATATGAAATTTTTACCAGATGTTGTTAACAATCCATGTAATCCACACATGCAAAGAAATTAAACCATAGATGTCCAGAAATTAAGTTATGTGTAATCAAGTGAAATGACAAGTATTTCAGTTTCTCTCATGTCAGTAGATATACTCATTGAAAGAAGCATTTCTCTCCTAGGATGCCCCCTGGGTGAACTGCAGGATGTGGAAATCAGAACGGCTATAAGAAAAAAATTACATAAATATTACCCAGGTTTTTTTTATCTAATCAAGAATATCTGGCACTATTTTTGATCCATTTAATATGTGTATTATAGATGTAAAGGAACACAGATGCTAATGACTAATTGCACTTTTTCTTAACTGCTCTGGAAGTGTGGAAAAAAAAAAACTTTCTCAGAGCGTTCGCCAGTTTTTGCAGTATTCTGTAAACTGGTGGCCATTTTTCTAGTTCTTCTTGTAGTTAAATATTTCACATTTTGTTTACCAGAAAATGCATTGTCTTGTTAATAACTGCATGGTATGTTTTTCTTTCTGATTGTTGGGAGCTGGAGAAAATCCCATCTTTCTCCAGCAGAGTCCGCCGTGGATCCTCTGAGGGAGCCTCCTGCACAGCTGCAGCTCATCTAGATCATCAGAGGATCCACTATATAAGCTGTCTTCAGACCTTGCCTCAACGCCGCAGTGTTGTTCCAGTTGGTCAGCGCTAAAGCCTAGATCTTTGTGTTATCTCCATGACTTTGAATCCAGGTTGGATTCTAACCTCTCTCCCTGTGTTTCCAGGAAACCCGTGTCTTCTCTGTGAAAGCTCTGGAAGAGCTAACCTGCCGAGCCGACCCTCTGAGCCAAACCCTGAAGATTCTCTGAGAACCTCCAAGCAGCTCAGGACCAGAGCTGGGAAACCAAAGCTAAGGTCTGTTCAAGCTAGACGTGAGACGCTGAAGCAGCTAACGGACTCTGCTGATAAACTCTTCTCCAGAACCAACAGTGACTCTCCCAAAGAGAACCTCAAGAACCCTCAAGGTACAATCAGAACTCACTTGGAAATCAAATCCTGTCAGCAGTCCATAACTGCTCTGTCTCTCACGCAGACTCCGGTGAAACCAGAACCCAGGCCCGAACCAGTCGTCAGTACATTCTGTGTGTTGTGCTTAATAAACTTGTTAAACTTTCATCCTTGTGTCCGTCAGTGGTGTTCTGCATAATTGGGTCTCTATTTGAGAACCCATCATGACAGAACACTGCGGCCAAACTCAAGGCCCAGCAGAACATCTCCGTCAACTACTAGAGGAGCGGGATGCCCAAATCCACAGACAAGTTCAGACTCTGAGTGAGTTAAATTCACGAATCAATTTCCAAGATCATCTTGTCCGTAATTTCTCTAGTCGATTGAACAATGCTAACACTACCCCACCTCCACAACCATTTCCGGGTCCAGTTCCCCCTCCGAGGTCACCAGCAGTGACGTCATCAGAGTTCCGCCCTAGTCTACCAGAAAAATTCTCTGGCAAAATGAAAGAATGCAAAGGATTTTTATTTCAGTGTCGTTTGATTTTCATGAACTCCCCTGGTTGTTTTCCCACGGACCACAAGAAGATAACATTCATTCTCTCTCAGTTAACAGGAAGAGCCTTGGAATGGGCTCAGGCCAGATTTGCTTCCGACGATAGCTTAAACTGCATTTTCTCCGACTTCATCTCAGAATTTAACCAGGTATTCAATCAGGAAACTGACCAAACTATTGATTCCAGAGCTCTTTTCAGCCTTAAACAAGGAAATTCATCGGTGGCAGATTTTTCAATAAACTTCCGGGTTAAGGCGGCAGCTTCCGGATGGAACCAAAGCGCCTTGAAGGGAGCCTTCTTCATGGCATTAAATGAGCAGATTAAAGATGAACTAGCAACCCTCGACGAACCTGCTTCCCTCAAGGATTTAATTCGCCTCTCCATCAGACTAGACAATAGAATTCGAGCCAGAAACAGTTCTAAGAAGCAGAGTAATTTTTCTCCTGCCTCNATTATAATTATGCAGGGAGTTTTACAGCTTATATGGACACTGCAATGTAAGTAGAGCAGAAAACCAGAAGAAGAAAGGGGGGGAAAAAAGGACAAAAGATGAAAGAAAGAAGAGATAGAAAGGAGACAATAACAAAACATTTTGCTGTGTGCAGTGGCATTGTAAAGTCTGATGGCGACAAGGACGAATTTCCTGCGGCAGAGTTCCTTTTTACAATGTTCTAATCTTTTTTTTCTAACTTGCCACACCCATATATGATTATTTCCTAACTTGTGTAATTGCAAATCATTTCTATACAACTTTTGTGACAGCATGAAGTAGGGTTAAAGTTCTGAGAGCAACCAGTTTTCTCTTCCAATGAAACGAAACATAAAGAACAAAGTCAATAGCCCTCTACCAACCTGAAAAGGTTTAGTCATCTGTCCCCTCCTGGTACATTATTAGCCAGCACAAACAACTTCCTTTTGTTTGCAGAGGGGAGCTTTGGTCCTAAAAATGCTAAAAATGAAAGCTGCTGCAGTTATCCGTTTTACAAACTGTCATTTGAGAGGATTTAACTTCAATATAGGTATTTTTTTCATTCCTATCTAGTATATTACAGAAACAGCTATGCACAGTATATTAACTGAAAAGGATAGACCTGACTTCTGGAAGCTTACAAAAATAAGTTTAGTTGTTTTTTTTATCATACAACAAATCTAAGAAAAACCTAATCTTTTGAACAGAAAATTACATGTTTAAAATAAGGACACTTTAATACAAAAGTGAAGTTTTAGGTAGTATTTGATCACTTAATCAAAGTTTAAAAAATAAAGCTTGACATCCACATTCAAATTTTATGTCTATGTATTGCTGCATTAATTATTCGTTATTTATAAAAAAAGTTTAAAAATATTCAATACATTTCGCTCCACTTCACGATTCTGTTCCACTTCTTCTTAAGTCTTCACAACAAATTACAGCTTTAGAACTTTAAGTTTAAAGCCTGAAATATGGCAAAAGGTTCAAAAGAATACGTTTCGAAGGCACTGTAGGTCCAATCACAAGTCTTTGTTTGAATGTTGGATTTTTCCTTATAGCTAAAAAAAGATCTATCTCAGCTATTGTTTACTAGCTGAGATAGGTATAATTTCTAATATATAATTCACATTGTGTAATTTTATATATATATATATTCCCAGTGAGTGAAGTATTTGATTATGTCATTAAGCAATCCAGAGAGTTTTATAGGAATAGGATCCTTGGAATATGTGTTAGGATCTGATGTTGTTCATTGTGGTTGGTTACACGTCCTGCGTAACCAAGGTGTGTCCTGAAGTTGCCAGCTCTCTGGCTGATTACCTTTTCCACCTCCTGCTCCACTCCAGCAGCAGGATCGGATAATCTCTTTCCTGCTTATAAAGAGTGATTCCCCAGTCAATCCTTGCCTGAGTGTTTAAAAATAATTGATAATAATTTAACTTTATGGAACTCACATTGGTTTATATAGGAATAATAACAATAAAACATTTTGTACTTTCATTTCACTGTCTTCCGAGAGTCCTTTCCTATTCTGAGACTTGATAGAACAGTACGACCTTTACATTGGGAACACTGCTGATTTGATCCTTTTTATATGATAGTTTTTAATACAGAGACTGTGAGCTACAAAAGGATCTCTGATAACAGAGTATTGCATCCAAGCATAAAAACTGAAAAATAAGATAAGAAATACACCCTTTTATTGTGTCACAGTGGTTGCAGTCAGGAAGTTCTTTTCTACCTGTTAACTGAGAAAGATCTTGTTGAAAAGGGTTAACAGAATGGGCTTTTTAGTGGATAAGTAGAGTCTCCTTTTAAGTGTTTACTATTTATTACTATTACTAATACTATTTATTTATTTTTGTGGTAATGACAGCTTGAAACATTAATATATCTTAATGATATTGGCAAGATTTGGCTATACTTTTTTATCTATTTAGGGGAAATTAGTCTTGGCTTCCAAGTTCTAAAAAGAAAACATATGAAACTGCTTCCATGAAAAAAAAATGACATTACATCTATGTAATTCCCATTGAATCACATAAAATAAGCAAGCCCACTTTTATTCCAACAAACAATAAACAAATCAAACCAAAACATAAAAAAGCCTTCATACATTCACATGCTATATGCTGTTCTTTATCTATTTATCTGATGGAGGTAGATAAAAATTCATATTTTAACCTTTTAGGTTCAGTCTCTGCTTATAAAGCACCTTTTCCAGTCAGAGAACTCCAAAGCGTTTTATTCAGCATTCACACACTAATGTCAGTAAGTTAGCCATAGCTGCCCTGGGGCACACTAACAGAAGCGAGGCTTCCATACAAAGTCAACACTGGTTCTTCTGCCCACCATCCATAGGCAATGCCGGTAGAGTGTGGTGCCGAAGTTCAGAGCTGGAGTTTGAAGCGAATTCATCCCTGCCACTGTCACCCCAAGTTTGCCACTGGGCTCTCTGTACTATAGGTCAGAATGTAGCATATTTTACATATTTTGAAAAGAGGATGTGAGGAGTATCAGACTGTACTTGCTGTGTGGGTCTAACAACAGACTCCTAGACTGCAGGAAGGAATAATCATCTTCCTTAAGACCCTTATTGCAGTCTTGATAATGCTTACCAAAGAGATATTACATCCCTTATCTGATAATGCTTTCCGTTACATCTGAATAAACAGAAACCTTATCTTTGAGTTGTATTCTTTAAGTACAATATCAAAACCAGCTCCTTTATCTTAATTAAAAAAATTGCTGCTCTTGTAGCACCATTGGCTTTCTAATAGTACTCAACATTTTTTCTCATTACCAGTGACTGATATATTTCAAACATTGATTTCTACTAATTTTGGGTTAGTTTTTCTTATGGCTAATGGAAATATTTTATTATAGGAACAGAACAAATGGGTGATGACTTTCAGATGAATGCTGTTGATTTCATAGTACACAGTTATCGACAATGCCACAGATTGGTTGACCTAAAGAAGGTGTCTGATAACAGAGTTGAGCGTCAGCTAAAAGATAAGAAATGGAGTCCAGGTTTTTTTTCAATCTGAAAGACTCTGCTAAGCCTTACCTGCACGTCCAGACTGCCACGTCATCTGGATCTAGCTCTAGGAATCTTTTCCTGCTCTCGAAGCCTCCTCAGCAACCAATAGCATCCAAGTCTCTTGCACAATCATCTTTATTAGGGACACTTTCCTGTTTTTAACTAGCTGCAACCACACCCACCCCAGACACAGGACAAAAATAAGTTACCATGATGGTGAGATTGTGAAAAGAACAATAAGATCAAATTAATTGAGTCTGTACCATAGTAGAAAACAGAACACCTTGCAGAGAGAAAAAAATTATGTGGAGTTAATAATTCAAATCATTCATTTCAAAGAATTATTTTTTTGTGCATGTTTTTACAGCAGTGGCTTGTTTTTAATGGACAGTAGGCTGACCGGAAAGTGGGTATGAGAAGGGGAGAGAGATGCAGGAAAGGACCACAGGTTGGATTTGAACACTGGTCGCACGCTTCAAGGGCTAAGAAGGTATCCATGCATGGGTTGTGTGCGCTAACCACTGCTCTACCAAAGCACGCCCCAAAAATAAATTTTCACTCCCAAAAAATATTAAATATCATTGCAGAAAGGACCTTCTGTAGTGGTCTGTCTTGCACCGAATCTGGAGAAGCTTTTGACAGAAGACACTTTGTTGTTTAAAAATCCCTTGAATAGGATATTCAGTGTTGTCCATGATCTTCTTCACTTTATGAAGAATTCTTCTTTGTGAAATCATCTCTAGCGGTTCTAGAGGAGTTCCTAGAACAGAGACTGCCTCTTTTATCAGCTTGTTGAGCTTTTTTTTTAGGTCATTTGCCCTGATGCTGTAACCCCAGCGGATGATGGCAGAAGAGATTACAGTCTCCACAAATAATAGAAGATATGTAGCATCATGCTATATGACCTACCAAGATATCTATACTCCCATACCACCTCCACTTCTTTTCCCATGATGCTAACAGGATTCAGCTTTTTCCAGTTTCTTCTAAAATCTACAAACATCTCCCTTGCTTTGTTGACATTCAGAATCAGATGATTGTTTCCACGCCAT